TTGTTGTTGTTTTTGTATGAGATTGTCGTGCTTTGTTGTTATAATTCTGTACGGTTTAATAACCCAAATTTTAGGTTACTATAAACACTTGTACTGGTATACTGTGCGCGTAAGAAAGCAGCCTCTGCTGCATAGAAGAGTTTGTGTTTTGAAGAAAATGAAGAAAGGCTGAATAATCCCCGCTCGGGCTGAATGTATTAGCTGATATATTCTCTGGCGGCCTCTGAAGGGCCCAACGTATTATTATTGTTATTCTGGTTGTAACCTAAAGTTCCGCATCTGCGGAAGTTTTATTAAAATATTTATTTCAGAAACGAGTGCATTTTGCGGCGAACGATCGCCCTCATCCCCTTCCAACATGTAAATGAGCTCATTTGCGTATTTGGATTTTTTGACGAACGACCGCTCTGGCTACGTTTCCATTTTTCAGTGAACTGGAGATTTGCGTTTTTTCGAAGAGCGAGCATTTACCAAAAAACGACCGAGCTTCATGCAAAAAACTGATAACATGTACCATGAAGGTCCATGCCGTCCTATAATGCAACACCTTCATCCCAACCGAGTCCTTTCTGCTGCATGCTGGAAGAGATAAGAGCATGGTCAATATGAGCCCAGCTGTTAGGCTACAGCGCAGAGACCATTCCCATCATCAGCGATCCGCGAGTTCGATTTCGGTCAACTTTGGGGGATAAGGGCCGACGAGGAGGGAGGGGGAAGGTCACTAGTATTGCTAATCCAGGATTACTTCTCTATTCCCGTCTCGGAACCACAAAAGGCAGCAGCAGAAAGTGGGTTTTTGTTGGAAAAATGATAGAGCAAAAGTGCAGTGAACCGACGTGTATGTCTTGCGAATGCGGCAATTGGATAAAATAGTTATCTTTATGAGTCACTCACGTGCGACGATTTGAGAAGACTAGTCATGGGATTACAGGAGGGAGAAAAGGCTATGTGGTCAAATAGGGAAGTATTACGTCTGCCTCGAGTAGGCTTAGAATGAAGATAGGTCGCAGAGCTGGACAGATAGGTCGATGATGAGACGAAGGACAATGAGGACACCAATACCGGCGACCAACGAAGCTCTGAATGGAAGAAAGGAGTGCTTAAAGAGAATTGGAACCATCCCCGGAAGCTAAGGAATGTAAGCCTTTCCAGTAAAATGCGAAATGATGCCAGACTGGGGCCCCATGAAAAAGTTGTTTGTTAAGAAATGGAGCTAAAATAAGAAAATGTGAAAGATAAGAGAAAAATAAGGGGGAAGGGAGATATGGAAGGGGCATACGGTAGTGAATGACTGTATGAACTGGAGGTATGTAACCTAAAAAAAACTATAAAATATATCTATTTATAATAGTGATTTGTTTTTTTCTGTGGTTATTTAGCACGAGCTGAAAGGCGGAGCGGGAGCGATCTCACAAGACTCGGTCGTAATGTCCAATTAAGATTACAACCATTAATCAATGGATCGAACCGTTTGGGGAGATCAAGCGTGTTAGCTGGAGTAAAATTTCGTTGTTGTGAATCTCGGCGCATTTTTCGACAGCTTAGCCAAAAAAGGGCCAGGAAAGCTTTCGAATAATGGACTGTATGAACCAAATCCCATGTTCAGAAAGTTCCGCTTCTAGATATGTAGCTAATTACCTACCATTCAGCTAACAAAACCGAGGTAGCAATGTAGAATAACCTACTCAGCTTCGGGAATGAATTTTAAACCACGACTTTCTAACGACCATAGTGACCCCTCAGGCAATTGATTCGCTACACACAGCATAGCTAATCGTAAAGAACAAGCAATAAGATCAACGAGAAGTATCCTTTTTAACGAGAACCTGTCGCAATATGAATAATAAAACGGATGATCACACGCAACTAGCTTTGAACGAAAAGTTAGTTTAAAAATAACTGTTAAATCTATGCTTAACAGAACCAGCAGATGTTAAAGACAAATTCATATTTGTAGAGGCTAAAATAAAGTCAGAGGACGGAAATTCGATTCGAGGAAGGCATACAAGCTGGCTATAGAAAATACTGGACAGTTTGGTAGATCTTTTC